GTATTGATGATGTTGCATAATTGACATCTAGAGCTGTTACATTGTGTGTTGCCATGTTTTCGGTTTAGTGGAGGGGAGTTTAGATGAGGTTAAAGTGGACTTTAAATTAGGGGGTTGCCTACGTGCTAGTAGAGGGGGCTGTAAAAATAATTCTCTAATCGATGGGTCTTCTTGGAGGGAGAGGAAGTCTCTTTTATTTCTCTTAGACAGTTGCAGGATGCTGGGGCTATAGTCAAATACCATAGGTAGCCGATCATTGTTAAATTTAGGTCTATATGTGAGAAGATCAGTGCGAGATTTACGTGAGGCTTTTTTAATCTGGGTTTTCATTATATTTAATGGGTAGTTACTTGACATGAACTTGCCAGTGAGAAGAGATATGTGTTTGTTATAGTCGGATGGACATGAGCAGATTCGTTTGAGACGCAGGCATTGACTGTAGATGAGCGATCGTTTAAGACTCATAGGGTGTGAGCTTCTGTAGTCGAGGTATCGATTGTTGCCTGTGGGTTTTATGTGTACTGATGTGGTGATGTTACCATTATCTAAATTTATAGATACGTCTAAGAATGGTAAATTGGACTTAGAATGATCCATGGTAAACTTAATGCTCGAATGATACGAGTTGCAGTGATTAGAAAATTCTCTAAGACTATCTAAACCATGCTCCCAAATAAAAAATATATTATCAATATATCTACAATAGTATGATGGTTTCAATTCAAAACTCGATAACATCATGTTTTCGAGGTTAGCCATAAAAATGATGGCATAGCTGGATGCCATCTTTGTACCCATAGCAGTACCATTTTTTTTTACTATAATGGCATCCATTAAATTCAAAATGATTATGGGTTAATATGAATTCAATCATTGTAGATATATCATTGATAGGTTTTAATGGAGCATAGGTGCGAAGAAATTCTTCGCAAGCAGCAATACCTTCAATTGTGAGGGATGTTCGTATATAATGAGCAAACGTCCATAGTAACTAGTAATGAGTCCGGTTTCAAATTAGAAATAGAGTTTTATTTTCTCAAAAAGTCTGTGGTATCCTGAACAAAACTCGGTATAAATGGCAGTAATGGATTAAGTATCGAGTCGACGAATCCAGAGATATGTTCCGTGAGTGTGCCGTTGCCTGATACAATAGGCCGTCCCGGTGGGTTGATACTTAATGACTTCGCATGATGGTAGATGGTTGAGAGATTTGTTGAATGGTTAGTGGCGTGGTCTGGTGAATTGAGACTATCTTCAACAAGTTTTGGCAACTTGTGTAACTTTGGTATTGTGTATAAGACTCCAGTCCTCGGATTAAGAGGAATTAATGATTTGGCTTTTGACTTGGTGTCGGTTGTCAAATTAGCCACCATTTCTAGAGCTTCCTTTCTGTAGGTTTGAGAGCAATCAGAAGGTAGCTGTTCATAGAAGTGTTCATCGGATAATTGTTTGTTAACTTCATCGATGTACCTACTCCTGTCCATTAAGGTGATGGCACCACCCTTGTCAGCTTGTTTGATTACAATATCCTTATTTTGGCGGAGGTTACGCATTGCTGTCCTTTCCTTTGGGGTTAGGTTGTCCGTTTGTTGAGTGGTTAAATTCTTTTGAATAAATATATCTAGATGTGACTTAGCGGCCTTAGCAAAGCTATCAATGTATGGGTTCCTACCGGTTGGTGGTGTGAACTGATTACCGCTTGTTGGACTTTTGTAGGTTTTTGAGTTAGAGTCAGCGGTCTCCGGCTGGTCTTTAAAGTACTCCTTTAACCTAATTCGTCGGATGAATTGTTCCATGTCAGAGCATAGGTTCACAGCGTCAAGTTGTCGACGTGTGGGGCAAAATGACAAGCCCTTTTCAAGTACGGAGTGTTCATCTGATGTTGGAGAATAACTAGATAAATTGACAACACTGGTCGGTAAATCGCACTTAGCTGATGTGAAGATCCATTTAGGAAAATAATTGAATAGGTTGTTAGTTCTATTGTTGCACATATTGTGAAGGAGTTGGTCATTCTTCGCTAGATTTTTAATTTTCTCAAGTTTAGAGTTGAGTCGGTATCGAAATTCCTTCTTGTACGTAAAATCGTGAAATGCCAAAATGTTCTTACTCTCCAACGGGGTAACTAACTGTGAGAGTTGTTGCTTAGATGTGTCGATATCATGACAAAGATTCTGTTGCTTACTGTAAGATACGCTAATTGCATGGTTTCGTAGTTTTTTGGACGCTTCCTGACATATTGCTTGGCTGATAGTGGTGTTCGGTACAGTGTGTAGCATGGGGTTCTTCAATCGCAATCCATTGGGGATCAAGTCAAGTTTTTTGCACTGCGACAGAAATATAAT